GCGCCGCGACCCTCCCGCTCCACTCACACACACACAGCTCCACCACGTAGGCGTAGTAGGACCAGGCCACGACCAGGGCGATGAAGGCCACGGGCACCCAGGCCAGCACCTTCTGGCAACACTTGAGGACGTGGGACGGCGCCATCTTCCCTGGCGGGCACGGCGGCAGCGCCGGCGCTGCGGCGGGCGGGCGGCGGCTGCAGCTCCGGCCGCCGCTGCGGAGCGGCCCCGGGCGGGCCCTGGGCGGGCCGCAGTGCGCGGAGAGGGGCGGCCCCAGCGCCGCCACCGCCCCCTTCGCGGGGCGCCGAACGCCTCGCTGGAGCGCAGCGCGGCCAGGGGTGGAAGGGACCTCTGGAGAGCGCCCGATCCAGCCTCCCTCGCCAAAGCACGGCCACCTAGAGCAGGTGACACAGGAACGCGCTCAGGTGGGTTTGGAAGCTCTCCAGAGAGGAAGACTCAATGATCTGCCAGGGCAGCCTGTTCCTCTGCTCTGCCCACCCTCCAAGGAAAGTTCTTCCTCATGTTGAGGTGGAACTTGTGTTTTAGTTTATGGCTATTGCTCCTCGTCCTGTCTCTGGGCACCACTGAAAGGAGCCTGGCACCACCCCCTTGGCACCTGCCTTGGAGATATTTATATGCATTCAAGAGACTAAACAGGTCCAACTCCCGGAGTTGGAGAGGTGCTCCACATCCTTAATTATCCTTGTGGTCCTCCACTGGACCCTCTCCAGTAGCAACTTGTCTTTCTTGTGCTGAGGACACAGCACTCCAGATGTGGCCTCAAAGGCGCTGAATCGTGGGGGAGGACCCTCTCCCTTGACCTGCTGGCCACATTCTTCCCGATGCATCCTTCGCCATTGCACCGGCGAGATCCTCCTCCAGCCATAAAACCTGGTCTCAAACCTCCAGGGTTGGCTCTTTTCCGCGGTGCTGGCCGGGCGGGTCGGTGTCGGGCAGGAAGGCGGTGGGGCAGCTCCGGGTAGTCGTGCCCGGGCTCTGCCGGGCTGCTGCCTGCCCAGCACCTCCACCGCTCGAAGAGCCTGTTGGGTGCCGCAAAGGGAACTTGCAAATGACTCACTGCTCTTGGTTTCACCGGCTTTTCCCGAGCGGGGCGAGCGCCTGACAGCTGCGGCCGCACCGCGGCCTCGGGCGGGCACCGCCGCCGGCGCTGCCTTGCGAGGCCCAGCCTCCGGAGCGCCTGAAGCCTTTAGCCTTACTCCGGCATTGCTGTGGGTGGGATGCCGGGGTCGGAACGGTCCGCGTCACGGCAAAATTCCCCGTATCCCTGTATCCCTGCCGAGCCAGAGGGTGCGCGCGCCAGGAGCGCGTCCCCGGCCCCAGGCGGCTCCCGCGGCGCTCCGGCGCCACCTGGCGGCGGAAAGAGGGACCGCCCGAGCCGAGGGACACGGAACAGAG